ACTAAGGAAGAAGATATAACAACCGTGCCAGATATTGTGGAAATGGCATGAGTTCCTGTAGGTAAGCTAACAGAAACAGGAGAAATGGAATGATAAGATGAGAACAAAGCAAGATTACTACAAACATGATCAGTGGCACTTGAATCAATGATCCAAGTAATACAAGATTTAGAGAAAGAATTACATATACCTGTAGAGGTGGGTGTAGAGACGGTGAGGTTATTAATAGAAGCAGGGGAAACGGATGTCTGTGGAGGAGCTAATAGAGTGAGGAGGCGCTAATATTGCTCAGAGGTGAGGTGAGGTAGGACTGAAGCCGTGGAAGAAGGTGTGTGTGGAAGAGATGCAGCAGTAAGGTTTTCTTGAACAAGGCCAGGATCTTGAGCAGAAAAATTGTTCACCGTGGCAGAAGACCGGAATTTGAATCCAGGAGGGAAGCCATGCTTCCTATAGCACGTTGCCTCGGTGTGGCGTGGTTTGCCACAATAGCTGCATTGCTTGTAAACGGTAGAGAAAGGTTTGGAGCCGAGACTAGGATTCATACGAGAAGGTCCTTTGGTGACCAAAATTTTAGGATCCAGGGGGAGACTAATCTCGCGCTCTTGTTGAATAACCAGCGAGAAGACACGGTTGATGGGAGGAAGTGGATCAATAAGCATGATCTGAGATTTGACTGAGGAATACTGTTCATTGAGCCCTTTCAGAAACTGGATAATACAATCTTCCTCACGATGAGTGGATGCAGCAACAGTAGAACCACAGATACACGGCTTAATCGGTCTAATACTATCAAGCTCATCCCACAGAATCTTGAGTCTGGTGTAGTATTCGCTGACTGTGAGACTCCCTTGCTTAAGATTGTAGATCTCTTCCTGTAGCTCCGCAATGCGAAAAAGATCAGACTGTGAGTAACGAGTCCGTAGATCGGTCCAAATTTCAGATGCTTTGTCGAACCAGAGGACACTCTTGGCAATCGTAGGAGACAGAGATTTTGTCAACCAGCCTTGAACCAGAGTATTGCAGCGTTCCCAGGCAGAATACAGAGGATCGGTCGCCGGAGGAGGAGAAATGGAACCGTCAACAAACTTGAGTTTATTCTTCGAAAGCAGGGCCATACGCATCGCTCGTGACCAGCTATGGTAGTTCGAACCATCCAGAGGAGGAGCAACCAAGATCAAGGCAGGGTTTTCACTTGGATGAATGTAATAAGGACTGGTTTGATCGATTGAAGAAATATTGGAGGAAAGACTGGAGGAAGAAGATGAATAGGAAGAGGAAGACGAAGTTGGGTCGGCCATGGAGAATCTTGAAAAGACGGTGAAGCAGGTTGAAAGAGAAAGAGGGAAAAGGGGAAAGTTCGGTCAAAGAGAGAAAAGTTAGGTTGAAAGAGAAGGGAGAAAGGGGAAGTTCGGTCAAAGAGAGAGAAAAAGAAAGGACGGGGAGGCTTAGGCTCTAGATACCATGTCACTAATTGTGGAAAAATGAACTGACTTGCTTTTCATTAAAGGAAGAGTCATATATATACAAGAAGCTTTATCTGTAACAGAATACATATTAATAACAGAATTAGTTAAATAACAAAAATGTTAATATACACTTCACATAATTTCTAAGTATTTAAGTGTCTCATTTTAAAGATGTAAAATGTTTCTTCATAAATATGTGTATATGATAGTAGTATGTCATGTCTCGGAAGAAATAAAATAAGCAGTTAAGATTGGACCAGGTTTTTGTGCTCATCAAGTGACGCACAGCCTACGCTCACTACTTAATAAGCAATCTGGAGTGTCCAAATTTTATTTTGAAAGTTTCTAATTTAATATTTTTAATAAATTGTTTTTAAATAACAAATTAATTTTTAAAAAATGATAGTTGAGAGGTTTTCTTTATTTTTTTAGGGAAAATTCCAATTAAATCCATTTGAAATAGCAAAATTCTAATTTAAGCCTATACTTTTAACAAATTCCTAATTAGGCCAAGAGGCCTAATTAGGGATTTTCAAATGTTGCTAAAAGACCAAAATGTCCTTTGTAATTAAAAAACCTAATTTCAATTTTAATTCTTTAACTAAATTTAACTAACATGTTTTTCCTTTAAACATTATCATATAAAAATTTGGCCAAAAACATTATCATATAAAAAACCAAATAAAAAAGAAAAGTCAAGATTATGGCCAATAAAAAATAATGGAAAAGTCAAGATAAAAAAATACATGATTTATAGATATCCACAGAATTAAAAAAAAATATGGGAACTAATAAAAAATTTTACAATTTCAAATATCAAAGATTAACAGGATCAAAGATTTTTTTTTGTGCAAAAAAAAAAATCAAATCAAAGATTCATGGAATTCTTGAATATTTGTCAAAATTAATTTTACTATTTCACAAATTACATTGAGACTCATCAATTCATTTTTAATTTTTCGGTCTCCAAGATTTAGTCAATATCAAATTTTTATTATATAAAAAATAACTAAAAAGCCATAAATTCCAGAATTGATATAGCGTTCACAATTACAAAACACAACTTTGACATAAAATCTAAGAAATACTACATCCTCATTAGACATAAAATCTTCCAAAAACACCCTTCAATTTGACATTTCACGGACATCCTGTCCTTGTTATTCTTCAAAAATTTGTACTGAAACATGTAAGCAATACTATACTTGTAGAGTGTCTTTCTAAAAGCATTAGTATTTGCAAATGATTGCAATACTTCTGACAACAATTTTTTCCATTTCAATGAGCTCAATTTAGGCATGGGTGTGGGTGCACTTTGTACTCTACAAGGTAGGTTACTAGGTCCTTCGAGTGCTTCATTTGTTAGAGAGCTTCGTTCTGAGCATCCCAACAATTCCTCTGTGCTGCATAACTCAATCACAATTTTTGTTACTAACAATAACACTATAACGAATAACAATTTTTTAAAAAACAAAAACAAAAACAACAAAGTCACTTACACTTGTTGCTCATCAAATATTTCATGTACATTGTCATTTCTTCTGCATACTATATACACATGCCTGCTTTTCTCATTATACTGAAATAGGTTTGCAAGTTCACATCATCAACAAGATCTATTAGGGTCTTCTCATCAAAAGTCACAATATATTTCATCTCGCCATTATTACTATCAATGCTGCTAATCCATAATGTTATCATTACTCTCATTTCTTCAAGTGTCATCCCCTCTCTTATGGCGTTTAATCTTACTCTTCCTCCATTATATTGAATTTAACCTTCAACATTCTTCACAAATTGCCCATCTACATGAAAAAAAACAAAATAGTTCTTTTGCAACTGTTGATCTAGAAAGAGACGTTATTTTTAATACCAACCTGCAATGAATAAATTAATTTAATTAGTATTTTGATTAGATTTAATTGAAATTTTTTTAAAACTAATATGATTAACACATGACTAAAAATGGTTGATAGGTTAACTAAAAACTAATGGATAAAGAATATGAATATGTACATGATTATTCAACAATTTCCACATACAGCGTTTTATATTGTTGAATGTGAGAGTATATCAAAAAGATATAAAACATTGCTCAACGAATCTCTTTTGAATCATGTAATCAACACAAACATATTGATCATCTAATTAGATTTGAAGTTGGTCATGAAGAAAAGTTTCTATTAGGTTTGGAGATTCACGATAGTTTACACAAACGTAGATGATCATATGCTATTATATATTATCTCAAGGATTATTATGCTTTCAACTTTAAATCAAAACAATGGCACAAACTGAAACATGAATAAGATATTGGTTCATACTGTGGGAATGTTATATCAAAGATGATTCTTCTTTTGCTTGCTGTGCCAATTCTCCTTCCACTAGAAGTATCACTGGCAACCCTCTTCTCAAGGAAAAAAAAAAAGAATGAATTGATCAATCGTTACATGATTTGAGAAATCATAAATTTAATATTAGTAGATATGGAAGAATTCTATAAATCTTTAATTCATTATCATGTATTTTTTATCTTGATTTTTAATTGTTTTTCATTAAAAAAATTTTAATTAAATCTACAAGAATAATTAAAACTGAAACCAGGCCTACACCTACATTCAATTTTCCTTTTTTTATTACAAAGGGACATTCTGGTCTTTTAGTAACATTTGAAAATCCCTAATTAGGCCTCTTGACCTAAATAGGAATTTGTTAAAAGTATCGACCTAAATTGGAATTGTATTATTTCATATGGATTTAATTGGGATTTTCCCATTTTTTATTATATATCTATTAAAATAATTATTTTAAAAAATAAAAAAGAAACTAAATGTGAATTTTTCAGATCTGATACGAATAGTCTAAATCTAATGAATTTGGGGGTGCTAATCACTCTTGATGAGCACTTTTTGTTGAGATTACAATAAAAAATGGATCTTCCAGGTCAAAACAGAAAATTAATTACCTACACGAGACGATGGTCCTTTTTCAATATGTTTAAAAAAAAAAAAAGTCTAATGACTTGAATACCACATCAAACAAATAATCACACACAAGTTTAATATATGCCAACTCTCAAGGGAAGAACCATCAATATCAATCAATACAGAATGTAAAATCTATCCAAATATTTAGAAGTTTAAGGCAGTTTTATTGTATAAAAGCTGAATTATTAAACCATTTCAACATGTTTTTCAAAATTAGCTCAGCTAACCGACTGGGGCTTCCAAATCCAAAAGTAAAATTAGATGAAGATGATACACGTGAAAAAAATATATAATAATAATAATAATAATAATAATAATAATGTAATAATAGTAAAAACTTTTTATTTCCCTAACACAGTTTAAATAATAGAGAAAGTTGGACAACTCTTGAATGCTCAGAGTTCTGATATGGTTATCAGTCCAACCAAAACTGCAATTTGCAAACAAATAATTGGTGAACTACCAGATCACAAATACTCTTCATGCCCTACCTACCTCTATCTATATATAAAACACAAACACTCCCCCATGGATTCTCATCGAAGCTCAAATTTAGCAGTCATCTTCCATTATTCTCTTCTTCTTCTTCTTCTTCTCATAACTCGCCCATGGCTTATTCTTCTGGGAAAGCTCTGATCGCAGCCTTTTTCCTTATGGCTCTCACATTCTCAATCATGATGATGAGTTCCAGCGTAGAAGCTCGTCGTCTTCTCCAAACAACACAGCCTTCGATACCAAATATGCCTGGAATTCCAAGTAACTTGCCTAAACCTACAGGATTGCCACCTTTGCCTTCAATCCCAAGGAACATTCCTCCATTGCCTACAAATCTCCCAAATATGCCAAAACCCAATGCACTTCCTCCTCTTCGTTCTGTGCCTCAGATCCCAACAGTCCCACAGGCCACACTCCCTCCATTGCCTAATAACATTCCTTCTATCCCCACAATCCCAACTACTATTCCTTCTTTCCCTTTCTCCTCTCCTCCTCCTTCTAATTAATATCAAAAAGATGTTCACTTCTTACTGTGTTCACTCCTTGTTCGTTGCTTGACGTGGTCCGCAGTACTTCAGCAGCATGGCAGAGCATTTACATTTAATACATATGTATTGGCTTAAATTAGCATCCTCTTTTATTTCTGTATGGTAGGATTTGTTTTGTGTTTCTATGTTCGGTGAGAAATTTAAGGCATTGTGCTTCTTTTTTATATCATTAATATGAGTTTCTTGTTATATATTGAATGACGAATAATTAATCCGGTACTCCTTAAGCACTCCATAGCAAAAACGGACCAAATGAACGAAAATTTACCAAAATATTATTTCTTAATATAAGACTTAGTTAATCAACGTGAGAAAATTAAGAAAGTTAAATAAATTATTTTAAAGTATTATGCTGATCATCTTTTTCAAACTAATTTTTCCTACTTAAAAACTGATATATAATCTAATAATATGTATAAGTATTTTAGAGAGATTATCATGTAACTTATACTATAATTAAGTAATTTTTTAGCTTTCTTAATTTTTTCTAAATTAATCAATTTGGTCTTATACTAGATGGAGTATAATAGATGAGTCTACATATTGCAAACAAAACCAACCAAAATATATGAAAATTAGAGAGTCATCAATCTGCCTCCATCCATAAGTGATTTAATAACAAAATATTGTTGTGGCAACTACCAAATGAGTTTTCCTGCTACATACATGGTCAATGGAAATATGAATCTGTAGATGGAATTAATTTCTTACCAACCAACATTGCATTCTTTGCTACAGTTCAACATTTGGTTTACCTTGCTTTCTAATTTCTATTCCTATAAACCAAACGCGACATTAGCAAAGAAAAAGCTTGAAGCGCTCAGCATATGCTCCCTACTTCCCTTATCCTTATTATCATATCCGAAAAACTAAATTGTATTGTTTAAGAAAAACTGTTAAAATTAATTAAAAGTAATAAAGATATAAAAAAAATATCTTTTTTCTAAATATGCTCTTATTTATAAGTGGGTAGCCCAGAACCAAAAAAGAAAAAAAGAAAGAGAATGTATAGAATAATAGAATAAAAATAATGAGAAAAAACACAGCAATTAAAGATAAAATAAGTAAAAATATATTTAATGTTTAGACAAACTCAAAATAAACTTAATAAAAAAGGACAAATCAATTTAAAAATTTAAATTTTATAATAAGAGACAGAGGGAGTACCTCCCTTAGAGAAGTATATATACTCCCTTCATCCTTAGTCATAAGAGTTAATTTTGAGAGGTTTGGTATCCCTAGTTACAAAATCTTTTACAAAGTGTTGGCGGCGGCATTTCCGACACAAAGTCGTAGGATTAATTACAATATGTTTCCACATATACCCCTAATGAATTATTAAAATCTCACGGCCCATCGATCTTAGTGGAAAAGTTATTTGAAGTTGTTAAAATTACCATTGAGGGCAAAACTGAAAATGAGCAAGAATATTTTAGACATTATTAACATTTAACTTATTTTCTTGATATGTGAATAAGAAAATTGGCTCTCATGATTAGGGACAGAGGAGGGAGTAAATTGTTTATCTTCTAAAGTCATTGCCTTGTTCGCAAAGTGACTTTTGTCGTTAGACCATATTTTCTGTACAAAAGTGAGAAGTATAGAAGTAGATGATAGTACAATCGCGGTTTGGTAATTTTGTAGGGTTTCAATACAATAAAATATATTTTAAAATGTCAAAATATATATAATCATTGTCAATTAATAATAATAGTGAACACGAACAATGTATATTAAAAATTGAAATAATTTTTTTAAAATTACCAAGATATTTTAATTAATTAAAATTATTTGCTTAGTTATAATATGATCTTTTATAAGTAGAATGTGACGCAAAACTTTCTCAATATTAGATTCGTGAATCGTAATAATCAAACGAACAGTATACAATATGATGAAGGATATCTGTAAAATTCTTACAAAAAAAGAAAGAAGATATCCGTGAAATTAAAACCCCATTGGCTAATAAGAGTAGTCTCAAAAAGTTATTATTTACTCGTCCGATCCTTAATATAAGACTTATTTAACTAATTTGATTAGATTAAAGAAGTTAGTAAGTTAGTTAATTATAAGAAATATGACATGTTTTTTCTAAAACACCATAATTATCTTTCTTGATATCTTCTTTCCCTCTTCTACTTTATTATAGTTGAGGGAGTATCCATAGAGCTAATTTAGAAAAAAATGATCAATATGAGAAATAGGTCTTATATTTAAGATCAAAATCAACTCAACAATTAGGTCTTATATTAAGAACCAGAGGAGTAACTCATTATAGTTAACCAACCCAACTCAGCCAAACTTGTTCTCAACATCAGTTTCTTCCAATACAATCGAGACATCCAAATCTGGAAGATGCAACATCAGCAACAACAGCCTCTTATTTGCCTTGTTCCTCTTTTAACTTCTAAAATATTATAGTAGGTCATCCTACATTTGAATATGTTTAGAGTTTTTTTTTTCAAAAAAGAGACCACCAACCCATATATACAATTCCAACCGCAGATAATATATAGGCGAACTACCAAAAGGTTTCAAAGGCTCTCAAGGTTCTACATGACTCCTACCTCTTTCTATATAAGATCGAGAAATTAAGCATTTAGATCCTCATCAAAACTCGAACCAAAGCATTCTCACATATCTTCCTCCATTCTTCTTCTCCTCCTCCTCCTCATCATAACCAGCCATGGCTTCTTCTGGGAGGTCCATCCTCGAAACTTTCCTTCTGGTTCTCACATTCTCAAGCATGATGATGAGTTCCAGCATAGAAGCTCGTCGTCTTCTTCAAACAACACAGCCTTCGATGCCAAACATTCCTGGAATTCCAAGTAACTTGCCAAAACCTACAGGATTTCCACCTTTGCCTTCAATCCCAATGAATAACATTCCGCCTTTGCCCACAAATCTCCCAAATATGCCAAAACCCAATGCACTTCCTCCTCTTCCTTCTATGCCTCAGATTCCAACAGTCCCACAGGTCACACTTCCTCCATTGCCTAACATTCCCTCTATTCCCAAAATCGCAAACATTATGCCCTCCATCTCATTCCTTTCTCCTCCTCCTTCTAATTAATCTCAGAACGTGGTCATGTTATTAATTAGTATCTTCATTCTGTGTTCGGTTACTTCTTGGTGCGGTCGCAAAACTCAGAAGCATATGCCAGCATATACTTCCTTTACATATATATTGGCTTATTTCTGTATGTTATATGTCTCTCTGTTGTTTTTCTTTTTGATTTGGTTTGAACTTTGAAATAGGGTTGCATCATTGATATATGAGTCTGTTGTTATTGATTGTAAATAATTTGTTGTGTTATAGATATATAAGTAATAGATTTTCATTTATTATGCAATAATATAATGCGGTACTATGTCCAGTTCTCTAAATTAATTCTGATACCTCTTAAAAATAAGCATAATGAGTACTACCTCATAAATAATTTGGAGAGATTAAGAAAGTTAGTTAAATTGGTTAATTATAGTAAATATGTGCTAAATTTTCTAAACTTTTTAATCATGTGCAATAAAACTTTTCATTGGTGAGAACCCTTACTATCAATACAAAAATTTTGAAGAAATCATTATAAATTTGAGAGACAAAATATACTAAGATCTTATATTTAAAATAAAATTTAATCTCCAATTAGCTTTTGTATTAAAGATTGGGGGTAGTATATTTAAGCTTCACTTTCATTTATGAAACATTATAATTATTGAATATCATGTAATTATTATAATTATAATAATTAACTATTTGATATAAGTTAATTTTTTATGTTATACAAAAAGGATTCCAACAGTAATAAAAGAATAAAAATTAAAATAATTACCTACATACATTATTATACAATAACTAAGCTGACATAAAGTTGGACATGTTATAAAGGCTTCATTATCTCCAACTGCGCGCCATTAATTAGTTTTACTTATGATTAGGGAAATGTTTGGGAGTAATTAAATGGGCTACAACTATGTTTCTTTTAATACGAGAATGGGCTACAAATTGATATTAGAGGCTTGCGACCATTGGGATTGGGCTACGTGCTATTATTGGGCTAATTGAGCCCAAGGTTGGAGGAGAATTAGATGAAACCCATTTGTAAAACATGCGAGTATTTAACCAATAAGAGTTGGTCCAGTTAGTAAGAAGCTAACTCATCACCTATAAGGTCATGAGTTCAAATCCAGCTGTGGATATGAGGGCCTTATTGGTGGCGATCTATAAGTATCTTTGTAAGCGCTCTCTAAGCCTGGAAGCATGTCCTGGTCCTGGTGAGTCCTCAAGACTCAACTTACCTAAATGTTTTTGTACCCAAAAAAAATATGCCAGTATTTACAGATTGGGTTGTCACAGTTTTCTTGGTTGCAAATTTTTTAGCGATGCTATTTCAGTTTCCATTGCAAATTTCCTATTTTCTTATACTGATAATATAATATTCTACAGATATTTTTTTCTAACCCATTTATAGGTGACATAGCATGTGAGCCTATAGCCCTGACTTAAAAAATATCATGCCTCTATTATATATGGATTAAAAATTTTTGCACCATTTTTTAAGGTTGATGAATAAAATTGCATAGCTCCTTGCGAAAAATATTTATTTAGACTTTTTTTTATATGAAAAAGCATATGATAGTATGGAACCAATAATTTATTTAAAAAATGTGTATTAGTTGCTCATCCAACAACCACCTAAAAAACTTGGGAGCACATGTTCACCACATATGATAAGCACAAAGTGCTCATCGCAATTTTTTATATATTTTTTAATTCATTTTTTGTTTTGATAGATACATAATTTAAAAATAAATATAATATTATAGCTAACATTTTCTAAAAACATAATTTTATCATTAAGAAATTAAAAATTTTAAATCTGAACAATTCATATCAGATTTTGAATAGTTTAGTTTGTATTATAGCGATGACCACGTACTCATCATTTAAATGATAAGCATTGAATGAGCGTCCCTAAACTTGGTCCCAATACCAACGCAAATCTTTGAGGGCTGCCAAACCTTATAAGATATAATTATTCATGCTGACTGAATGAGGACCCCCTAAAACTTGGTCCCAATACCAACGTGCTTCTTTGAAGGCTGCCAAACCTATAAGATGTTAGGATTATAGTTTTGATGATAACAAAGTCAGATTAATTTAGTTAAGTATGGTGATCGATCATCTGATCGATCAAACGTTTATCGCTAAGGTTACAGATAATTGTTCAGGTGTAATTCAGTTTTATAGTAGGTATTTTGATTGAAGAACTATCCGATAAGTAGTTAATCGATAAAATGATCGATTATCTCTAACATGGAAATCACACAAGGTTACCGTTAATTATCGATCACCTGATCGATAACATCAGATAAACAATCGAGTTACTGATAAAGAGAACCAAATCTGAAGTGCATTTATCGATCACATGATCGATAAATAAATTATCAATAACGACTTCGATAAGAGGTAACACACTCTATTCGTTCTGCACATTTACTCTGTTTATCATTTATCGATCATATTTTCGATCACTGGCTTATCGATCACATGATCGATCATTATGCTCTAACTCTGAATGCAGGTAATCATCTTAACTGCTGGATCGATAACCTTATCGATCATAAAATTATCGATCACATGATCGATAATCAATGTTGTTATCTACTCATATTTAGTTTTTCTACAACCACATTATCGATAACATTATCGATAATTTAACTTGTTTGCATATTATCTTTTCACATAACATGATCGATAAAGAGTCTAAGGATTGCTATATTCGCATTAACTTATGTTGAACCATTTTTCGATCACCTAATCGATCATTGACTTTTCGGTAATATGATCGATCATTCGATTTCTTGAAACTCATGTTTTTACAAAACGTGATCGATAATCAGTTTCTTCACCTTACAGGGTTAAATTTCTTTTCTCACTTTATCGATCACTTGTTCGAATATTCATTGATCGATCATTCCAGAGAGTATGTGTCTTTCAATGAATATTCTTACTCATGGTTTATCGATAACTTTATCCATCACCCTTTTCTCGATAAGTTGTTCGATCATCTGTGACTAAAGTTTCATTTCAATAACATTTGAATTATCAATAATCTGTTCGATCAACAAGTGTTCGATCACTTGTTCGATCATGGAACGATTTCCGTTTACTACGATAATTCTTAAAGTCAATGATCCAACACTTGATCGATAATTTCAATGAACTAATTCGAGAAGCTTTCATTCATTTTTTCGATAACCTGATCGAACAATAAGTAATCGATCACCACTTCGATCAACATACCCAGAAAGTCTTTCTGCTCTTTCTATAGACAAATCATTTCGACCAAGATCTTTGAATGATAAATTTGTGTTTCTTCTTGTTCTTAATTAAAACCTACACCACAAGACTCCTTGTTGCTTAAAGTTTTAATATGTGCAGATTACCAAGAAAGATTACAACGGCTCTTCAACGGGATTACGTAAACTGCAATCTACAGTGTCAGAAGCTCAGACGCATTAATGGTGGAACCGTTGAAACCGGCGAAACACGCAAACTGAGTCACAACGGCTAGAAGCTCTTCCGTCTAACGGCTAATTAACGACCTCAACTATAAAAGGCGCGAAGAAGCATTAATGAAGAGATTGAATACCGGAACTACCACCTGTGATTATTAAGTCTAGCATTCAATACTCTGTTTTCTGCGATACTACTGAGCATCAGTGTTCATCATTAAATTCACTCTGTAAGAGAGCCGATAACTACTCTTTATTAAATACTTGAGCGATACTCAAGAGTGTGGACTCTTGAGAGGGCTTGTATCCTTACGGGAGTAAGGGGGAGTGATTGAGCGATTCAATTACTGTACCGAGGCACCAAAAGCCCTGTCGATTTTGGAAGATAGTGAAATACTTAGAGGTGTTCTGAGGACTAGACGTAGGTCAAGTGGTTAAGACCGAACCAGTATAAATCTTGTGTCTTCCCTCTGCGGTGAAATTTCTCCTGACTCTGACTCTCTGTTTTTCAATACTGTCTCGCATTTAATTCTAAAATTTGTAACTCACCCAATTCACCCCCTCTTGGGTGAGATTGATTCTAACATAAGATAATTATGGCAAGGTGTTTTGGAAGAGAAAAAGTAACTTATAAATGTGATAAGTCAGTATACAAATTTGAAAACTGTTTGTTACAGCTTTTGGCCAATCTAACTTATAGGTTAAAAGCAACTTTTTAAGTATGATTGTAAAAGAACTTAAAAATTACTTATGAGTTATACAAAAAGAACTTTTTGGAATTAAAAGACATTGTTATACCTATGTTTATATTGTTTTCATGCTTCTCTCTCTACATATTCTTTGTACTATTATTCATGCTGAATGAGGACCCCCTAAAACTTGGTCCCAATACCAAAGTGCTTCTTTGAAGGCTGCCAAACCTATAAGATAATTATGGTAAGGCGTTTTAGAGGAGAAAAAGTAACTTATAAGTGTGATAAATCAGTTTGTAAATTTGAAAACTGTTTGCCACAGCTTTTGGCCAATCTGACTTATATATAGGTTAAAAACGGCTTTTTAAGTATGATTGTAAAAGTACTTAAAATTTACTTGAGTTATACAAAAAGAGCTTTTTGGAATTAAAAGACATTGTTATACTTATGTTTGTTATAAATAAAGAAGAAATATAGAAAAAAAAAATCATACAAAGGAAGAGAGGATTAACAAGAGAGAGAGTATTTCTCATTCCATTCAAGTGTGTTCAATACATTATACATGACCTCTATTTATAGGCACAGCTTTACACCTTTGATAGAATCTACAGATTATATCATAACATGAGATAATTGTAGGATATAGAGATAATAGGAGATATAGGAGATAATAGGAGATATATGGACATCCACAAAGATATTATTATATTCATAACACTCCCCCTTGGATGTCCAATATATATGAATGTGCCTCATTAAAAAAACTTCAACTAGGAAAAACCTTGTGGGACAAAACCTTAGCAAAAGAAAAAGAATACATCATTCATTGATACACTATGCAATATTGCCTTATTAAAAATTTTGCTAGGAAAACCCAGTGGGACAAAACCATAGACAAGGAAAAAAGAGTACAACATATATCAACTCTCCGTTTTGACAACATAGTTGACATCTTTGAGCCTGCAAAATCTAATATAACAAAGAACCCTTCCAAATATTGTAATGAGATAAAAACATCAAGTATGAATTCCATGATCTTCAAAAAAATCATGAGACGAATAGTCCTTTTATGGTTTACCTACACGTGGATTATACTATAATCTCTTGACATAAGGATCAAATAAGAATACTTTATCTATATAGCCATTAAGATTAGTCTTTGGTA